CCCTAATTTCTAAAAAAAAATGTATGTTATACAAATATGAATGCAAACTAATGGATGCCTAAAAGTGTATCTCTCCCCCAAACTTAAATCAAATATTGTTCTCAATGTAAAACAAAAGTAAGAGAAAAGAGAAACTTCTCAGGTTTTGCACTTGAAGACTTAAAATTAAAGTTTTGAAGTTGAGTTGTCTTCATTTAGAGGAGACTTCTAGCATGTGAATTTCCATAATCTTGTCCCCCAAACTTGTTCAATGACCTGGCCAAAATCAAAGAACAACAATTTATGCATTAACCTAGCCCATAAAGAGAAAAAGAAAAAAATTAAAAGAAAATCTGAACTATAAAAATAAGAGAAAAGAAAATCTTATACTTGGGTTGCCTCCCAAAAAGTGCTTAATTTATAGTCATTAGCTAGACTTTCTACCACTCCAAGGTGGTTTTGGATCAAGTCGTAAGGCATGTCCTCTCGGTTTCTTAAATCTTGGCTTTCTTGCCCTTAAGTTGAATTCACCATAAGATTTTCTCCAATGACTATTCTGAGGTGGTTTGGGTTTAGGCCAGTAGATGTGCCTTCCCAATTCTTCTAGGAGTGACCCCTTGGATTCTAAGGAAGATGATGTGTTCAAGCAATTTATGTATTCTTTGATTGAGTCTTTTGCTTGAATAAGTTAAATCTGAAATGGATCCTCATAAGTGTTTTTTTACAAAATCTCATCAACCATATCAATAACAAAATAATCATTAAAATCAGATTTGGTTAAAGGAGACTCCCCATTGAACACTTCAAATGACACCTGAGCTTTTTCCTCTTCCTCATTAGGGACATCCTCTTGTTTAGTTTCTGCAGGCATATTTTCCACTTCTTCAAGTTGTCCTTTAATCTCCAAGAGTAAAGTGTTTACCTCTTCTTCTTGATTTTTCATTGTTGCACTAAGTAACTCACCTTGCATCTCTTCAGCAACTAAGTTGAGCAAATGACTTGATTGGACCTCCAAATTTTTATTCAAACATGTCTCATCTTCTGGAGCTTGAAACCCTGATTGTGGCTCCAATATATCTTCATCATTCCATGAGGTGTTTGGATCAAAATGGCATGTATTGAGATAAGAATTATACTACTGACTATAAAACTCACAAGAAAAATCAATACACTTGTTATATCGTTAAAATAAGCAATCAGAACTAAAATGGTCTAATCCACACCATTCACAATTGATATTTGATCGTTCTATTTGAGCCTTCCTTAATTCGATCCTTTCAATGACTGCTTGAATTCGTTCAAGTTCATCATTGTCAAGTTCTGCATCCCAATTGATAGTTATTGCTTCAACTTGTGCTCTTATCTCTGGCGCAAGCCAATGATAACTCACATAAGTACCTATGGCAACTCGATTCATAGTTAGACCTGTAAAAACAAAAACAAAGAAAACAGAGAAAAAAAAAATCAAAGTAAAGAAATAAAAGAAAAGAAAACGTTCAAATTAAATCTAGAATTAACCAGCTTTGATATTAATTAAATCAACAATCCCCGGTAATGGCGCCAAAAACTTGATGCGCTAAAATCACCCTAACAAGTATATTAGTCGTCACAAGTAATATAATGATGAGAGAGTGTCGAATCCACGAGGATTGTGTCTAACTAAGTACCAAAATAATTAATCTAAATTTATTTGAACAACCAAATGAGAAGAAAGTTTAACTAAAAAATAATAAAAGGAAAAAAACAATTAAATTAAACCTAACTAAAATATGAGATACTAAGGCATTGATTTCACCATAATCAATCAATATAAATTCTGGATTACCAAATTGTTGAGTGTTGTTGCATGTGATGGCGGATTTTCCTAAATTAATTAACTAGCTTTCTCAAGTCAAGTTAATCCTTCACTTGTTTGTTAAATTAATCATATCTCTATGTAATTTTAAACAAACTTATGAGTATTAACTTCTATGGAAACCTCTAGCTTAAGAAGGGAGAGCTCCTAACTCTCTTCTCTTCTTCCACTACCACATGTGAGCTAATTACCTCTCGGTCTCATAGTCTAGCACACGGTTTATATTATTATTGGTCTAATCTATGCAATTTTTTCTCAAGTTCATGCATAAATCACTAAATTAATTGAAAGGTAATAAGACTTCCAATGCATTAAATTCAATAATATGAACTCCTCATGCAAATAACTTTAATTGAAAGTATAAAATCACTAAATCCATATTGAATTGATTAGGCTACATCATAGCCCTAGTAGAATAAATTAGTTCATAATAAAAATAATAAAATATGAAATCAAAGTTATGAACATTCAAATATCAAACAATAGATAAAAACCCAAGAAAAAATAAAATTCAATTTGAGGAAATTGAACTCACAAAATTCAATTTGAGGAAATCGAACTCCTTGATCTTTTATTATTGAATCTTTCTCTTGATCTTAAAGAATGCCCAAAAGAGGGCTACCACCAGCTTCTCAGAACTCCCTCTATTCTGAATTTGGATGGGTATTTATAGAATTTTAGAAATTGAAATAGAAGTAGGACTTGAAACAGAAATAGGAAACTGAATTTTTTATGCTGATCACGTGGTGCTAACACTTCAGATTACGTGTTGACACAAAATAAGAAACAGAATGTGATTCTGGACGTTTCACGCATGGTGTCGATACCCCGATCATGTGTCGACACTACACCCGTGTCGTGTATTTGGCCTCCTTTTGCAATTTCTTCAATGGTAAAATAGCAGATCTGGTCCTCCAGGTTTTGTACTATGAGCACTTAGATCCCAAAACTCAAGATTCATTCATTTATGTTCCAAATGGCCGCCCTTCTTCTTGCAATTCAGTCCCTCAATTTTTAAAAAATATTCAATAAATCCTAAAAACTCTTATTTTATGCATTCAAATCTTTTTCTGCACAAAGAATGAAAATCATGTAAAGTTTCATAAAACTCAACCAAATCTTATAAAACTCATCTAAATATCAATAATATCAAGACAACAATTCCACATTAATATGTATACAATTTCAACTCATCACTAGGGATTAAGAGAACAACATAGTTTTGGTTGGGACTCCAATTTTTTCTTTTAGAGGTAAGACT